AAAGAATATAAGGTAGGCTCGTACAGAGATCCTTAAACTGACCTACTTGTACCAGCAGCGTGTTCGTGAGGCACCCAATGAAAGTCATCAAAATGAGATTCGTGGAAGAGAAGGTCCAAATTTGGCAACATACATTTTGCTACGAGTAAATGACATGCCTTTTCATTACAAGTAAAGTGGATTAGTGAACTTTACATAACCTTTTCATTCAATAAAGCTTTTGAGACTAGCAGGATTTAATAATAGTGAGAATTTAACTGATATACATTATGTAATATTAGAACAAAGATTTTTCCATTTAAGTCTGTCTTTGACACAAAACTTTTTCTAACTACTGATAAGAAAGTTTTTAACATGTTTAGTTTTTGAGGTGGGACAAAAGTTTTCAAACCCAACACTTAGTTCCGTTCAAAGTTCATCTTAAATTTAGCAACATTACCTGCTATTATTATTGTCTTGTAATCTTTTGTTCAATGTCTTTTGTTTTCTTTGTCAACTTAAAGCCTAGATGAACCCAGCAATCCCTGTAAATTATATTAGAAGTGACGACAACTGACTACTTGCAACCACGGCTCTAGAGAGAAACTCAAGAACAGTGAGATGAATAATAGCAGTGTCGCGATCGTAAACGATCGACACCGTTTGGCCAGTTTAAGCGAGTTTTCGGGTTCGAACCATAGTTGTCGATCGTAAACGACAATGAACTTTGGAAATTTTTGGATTTGGCCATTTTAGTTTTCGGGTTCAATTGTTGTAGCGTGACGCTCTTTGATGAACGTATCTTGGCGTATCTGTGGACGACGTGATTTGTAGAATTGATTGCTAAGTTTTCTACGAATTGAATCACGAAGAGGCATGCACAGATGCCTAATTGATATATCCTCTTTTCAAAGTATCTAGTATCGAAGTATCGAAACTGTGTATCAGATATCAAATGGGTACAAACACGACTTCGGGTTTTTGCTGTCCTTCGTTACTGAATTCCGCTCTTGCTTTTGGCTCTTAACTGCATTCAGGATAGTTATAAACTGGTGCTTTTGAAGGAAGGGTAAGTTTAAAATCTAAAATAATAAGGCAAAGTTTAGCTTCTAATGAGCACAGTTTAATTCTTACATTTTTACACTGCATTTGTGGAAAGATTCACGGTATCCCAGTCAATAATGTTCAGTAAGCAGTTGCGCTGAGTCTACTGGCACCACCTACACCACTCCCCTATAATTTCTGAACGTATCAATAAAATTTTCTTCGCTGACCAAGTCTGCAAAGTTACCTTTAAAAGCCTTGCGAAATTATTTATTAAGGCTCACGTTTTTTTCAACTTCCTTGAATGATATAAAATATAGTGAGAGAAACTTAGCTTCCGCATATTTCATGCAACACATATGATGGCCAGAATAACTAAATTTGAACTGATAACCCTATTAGCGATATCATAAGCAGCAGTGTATCATACTTCAATTATCGGCCTGGTTTTGTCCGAGTAGACGAATTGAAAGAAAGTTTTCCAACCTTTTATAAGTCCTGTGCTAGGTCACCCTAGCTCACCGCAGCTTTGTGGAGGCAACTCGCAATTCGGTTACACATGCACAACAAAAGCCACCTTTGCTCGAAGGAAAGTGGAAACTGTTTTCGATCGTGTTTAAGATCCGTTCAAACATGTAAAGTGAGCTTTGACTATACCCTCTACAGAGAGCGATCTGGTTACGGGATTGGGTTGTTGGCAAAATACGAAAGTAAATTCGCAACAATACATGCAGTCATTTCAACTTCGTCATGAAGGCGATTCGCCACAAAACAGAGGTTGATTCGCCACACACCTAAAAAAAGTTCGTGTCAATGGCACTTTCGTCGAGTTGAAAAAAAAAATAAACATTCGGCTTTAAATTTCCTAATTAAAACTGACACTCACGTATCACAAATCTCAGATATCGGTACTTCAATCCTGCCTTAGATCACAGAAAAGCTAGAAGAGAGGCAAGGTCTACAGGGATTTCTCCTTTACTGATATAAGCCGTTTTTTATATAAGACCTTGTGTGGGTCTTTATTTGTTAGACTGCTTGCATTCCGGATCCTTGCCTAAGGTCGCGTGACTACGTGCCGTCTCGGCGCATGAGAACTAGGAGGCTCTCTTGCATATTTAACTGATTTCACCTTTTTGAAAAAAAAACCACAACTTGTATCTGAAACCACGTAAAACTTGTAGATAATTATGATTTAAAAAAATACTGCCTTGGTTTTAATCGTTCAGATCAGTATCGAAAAAACATAAACATAATTCGGTGATGAGCCAATACACGTTATCAAATTGTACGTCAACATATATGGGCAAAGATCTGTGTTGACAACTCGACAGTTTATCAATAGGCAATAACACGAGGAAAACCTTTGACTTCTGAGAGTTTTTTGTCTGTTTTGAGGTTCAAGTAGCGCTTAATATAGCCACAAACAAAAAACACGTTGAAAATTTACTAAACACCGTAATTTCGGGTGGTGGACAAAACACTGACCCCTAATCCCTGGACTACCCTTATGGAATAACCTAAAATGGACTATGCCGCTAACGTTAAGTGGTAAGGGTTCGGAAACTGAGCGAATCAGATTCCATTTAGGGTCATTATACTGAAAAAACTGACCTGAAAGTTTCCTAAACCTAGCGGCGTAGTCCATTTTAGGGTAGTCCATATGGGTAGACTAGGGGTCAGTGTTTTGTCCACCACCGTATTTTCGTGTCTCAGTTTTGAATTTTAACGGTCATGCAAAAGCCCATCTAGCTCTTAACGAAGCTCTTAGCATTGTGCAGCTCATGCGCTTACCAACCAAGTTCACATTTTTGGCGCGAATTGTTTTCAACTTAACTGCCTCGTGAATTCTATGCAGGATATTCATGATTCGGCCCAACACAAAAGCTACCAATTTTTGTGATTTCAGTTTAGAACTCGATGGTATCTCTAAAGCACGTCACAGTGCCAGAGAACCGAACAAAAATCACAGGAATTTTTCTGGTTATAAATACTTATCTACAAGTTCAGTAGATGTAACTCAAAAAAGGCCCTCACAATTTTTGGTAGTCTACTCTATTTTCTATGTAAAATAAACAAATTAAATATAGCAAGGACAAGCTAGGAACTGAACCTGCACAATTGCAGGTAAAGAATGATATGCTATCTTGCTTATATAAACTAGGTATACCTATCGATAGAGTGCCAACGAGCAAATCATGCGTATTTTGCTTAGGAATAAAATTCCTTTTTTTCCCATCTGACCGTTTCTTGGTCCCTTCCTGTTGCAAGGATTATTTTCTTGAAAAGTTCTCAGATTCAGTCTGGTGGCTTTACAAACCTGCTATGTAAAAGTGTGAAGTGCCTTGAAAGAATAAAGTCAGCTTTGCAGAGGAAGCGATCGGGAATATTATTAAGTCCAGCTACAAATCTACTGTCGGTTCGGTTTCACATTGTTGATAAATATTTGCACAGTTTAATCATTTAAACCTCCTTTCAAATTTCCCGAGGCTTTTTGATATCGGATTGAAACTTAGAATGATTCGCTGGGCCATCTGAAATGTTTCCAAGGACATGCGATGTACGGCACGTCGGTATTTAATTTTAGTTCATTATTTTTATACTGAACTCGGCCAGGTTTCCAAAAAAATGGCGTTGTTTTCTTTTCCTTTGTCGTTCGCTTTAGGCTTGTAATTCGTTTTTGTTCTCATTGTTTTTGTTTGCTGGTTAGATTTTTTCCCCAACACCAGACTTTCCAACAGAAGCGACTGCATTCTTCGTGTCAAGCTTTCCTTATCTTCTCGTGTAATCTGATCCTTTTTAGTGGTGAGAATATTGCTTGCTGCACATAGAACACTTTTGCTGTTTTACAAACTTCTCTTCGTTAAAACTTAACATTATGGCCCCTAAAATTAATAGAATATATCAAGTGCTCATGTCTCTTGACTGCGGTGGCCGGGTTTGACGAAAAAATTTAGGTCAATAAACACAGGAGGTCACGACGGCTGGAAGTGTGTGAAATTTTGTTTGTTATTCAACTTGAGCCCGTGCGCCAGGTACTGCCTTTTGATTGGTTCACAACTGACCACTTGGTCTCAGGGGAATCTACATTACATTGGGTTACACTTTTTTCAGCTCGATCGAGAATTTTTCTGCCTATTGCCCAGTCTTACGCGGCTCTATTCTGCTGCCGCCTCGCCATCCGAGCGTCTTCCCTCGGATGGCTCGTTGGCAATTATAGTAACAGTTTGCATGGATCAAGTAACTGTAAAAGCATAAACAACCGACAAGTTTATAATAAACAAAATAAACACTGACGTGGGATACGTGTTGGCAAAACACGATATTGCCTACAAGCATTCGCACGCGCTAAACATACGACTTCCAGATTCTCTGCTTTTTAAAGTTATGCAGGAGCTGTGAACAGTCTTTAGTGTAACTTTATTCCACAGCAATCTCAGTTATGCGCTGACAGAGCTATTTAGAATATAAGTTAATAGGATATCATTTTCTCTGCTGAACAGCTTCAAGGCTAAAGTCGACGAAATCAGGAAAAGAGTGCTAAGGTCGAGTCTTGTAGTGGAGGACAACTGCCGGCTAGACTGAAGGTAGACTTATCGAGTTTAAAAGTGAAGCAGCTTATGATAAAAGGAATTAGAAATCAACTTTTATCTTAAATGATATAACAATCATTTATGAACATAAAAATAAGACTTGAAGTAAAAATTTAATGGTTATAGAGGCTGGGTAAAATTTTGCATATTAAATTTAAAACCGAAGACATCTCCCCTATCATGTAAGATTTTCTTATTGGGAAAAATAATGTGAAATTATGTTTTAGTTATATTCTATATTAATTAAATTCTCAGTCAAAGAGCGTTAGTTATAAATATTAGATATTCCCATCCATGATGATAGCTAATAACGAATTTCATCGTCTTGTATAATTTATATATTAATAACTATGGCTTTTTTAATTAGATAATTGATCTGCTCGAGACATGGAAGAGCGCAAACAGACGGTGTTCAGGGAAGTCGTTATAATAGGAGCCGGTTGGTCAGGCTTGTTGGCATGTAAAAGCATGTTAGAGGAAGGATTGACAGCTGTGGCACTGGAAAAACGACCTGACGTGGGAGGCCTGTGGAACTACACAGACGATCCAAGCATAATAACGGTTATGAAGAACACAAAAACCACTTCTTCATCCACGGTGACAGAAATGTCTGACTTTCCAATGCCGGAGAAAATCGGCCAGTTTCCGAAGCAGGAAGATGTACTGAGCTATCTAAAGTCATACTGTGATGCTTTCGATCTTTGGCCGCATATTCGCCTCGGTCACTGCGTAATAGAAATTACGAAGGCCGACAAGTTCTGGCGTGTACGCTGTGAGAATGAGCAACTTTTTGAGAGTAAGTTTTTGATCATTTGCACAGGAAGCGTTCAGAAGCCCAATCGGGAACTTGAGCACACGATCCTTCGAGATTTTGTGGGAGAGGTTTGCCACAGTTCCGAATTGAAATCGTTTGTCCCCGAGCACGAAAATAAGCGAGTGATGCTGGTAGGTGGGGGAGAGACTGCAAGTGACATTGTGGAAGAGTATTATGATCACGTGACACGCATTGTTTGGTGCATACCACGTGGGATGCATTTCTTCCGGAAGTATGCTAAGATCCTACCCAACAGACGACCTCAAGCTTTGGATAAAGCCTCCTCCCGAGTCATGAAGTCCATTGCTCCTTTTACAAAGGGCAAACCAGGTGAGTAAAGTTAAGTGTGTACGATGTAAGGGACTGTACAATCGTTGGACAAACGAGCGCAGAAATTCCATACTGATGACGCGTCACTACCCAGATCTCAGAACTGCTTGTGATTGGTCGTGCTGCGTGCCGATTTTGCTTCAGCCAATTAGAAGACTACCCAGCTCTGGGTAGCGACACGTTATCAGTATAGAATATCTGCGCTCGCTTCTCAGACGGGGAAGCCAGTGGTGGCGTTGCAAAATGTCGGCTGTTTTCTCAAACTAAAGATGATCTCTTTTCATGTTCGTTTTAGGGCTCTCTTGGATTTGCAGTTGGACAACAAACGGCTCCTTACTTGCTTATCAAGGTCATGGCATTGCAGAGTGGAAAAATGATGCCAATTTTTTCCGATTTTTCATCAACAAAAATGGTCATGTGTTAGACAGAGTGGACTATCAGCGCTGTGTACCAAAGGGTGCCATTGAGAACATCAAAGGCAAAAGAGTTGTATTCTGTGATGGCACGGAAGAAAGTGTAGATGTGATCATCCAGTGTACTGGCTTCCAAACTGAATTCCCGCTCCTTCCCTCTAAGTTTCAAGCCGTACGTTTGACGCAAAATTACAAGTTCATCTTTAACGTGGACGACCCAACGTTAGCATTTGTTGGCTACGTTCGGCCAGTGGTCGGTTCGATCTCAGGAATTGCTGAGATCCAATCGCGATTTATCGGAAAAGTGTTTTCGGGAAAGTGCGATCTTCCATCGCGAGATCAGCGTCTTCAGGCAACGTTAAAAGACAACGATTTCTGGGACGACTACTTTAAAGATTCTTCCCGAAGGCTAGGTACGCTGGTGGAAGCATACACATACATCGATGATATTGGAAGCCTTTGTGGGATCAAGCCAGACTACTGGAAGCTGTTTTGGCGCAATCCGCGGGCATGGCGACTGGCTGTCTTCGCGCCGTACGACGGCTGCTCTTTTCGGCTTAATGAGCCAGATAAGGAAGCATGGGCAATAGACCACCTAAGATTACAGATGGAAGACACATTTGGGCCTTCGCATCTTATTCTGATTATGTTTCTGAGGCTAATTTGGTTCGACAGTTGGCTTAACCTGCTGGGAAAGATCAAGTACTGGATTCAACGCTCGGTATGGTGGAAAAAGATGAGGGAATGGAAGTTAGTACAGACACTAGACTGGTACTGGCAAGCACCTAAGCGATGGCTGTTTGACCGAAAAACCAGAGCATGATGACAGCAAGGTCTCCCACACAAATTTGAATTCATGAGGCCAAAGAATAGTTTCCACTCCCTTCCAAGGGTGAACAAAACCTTGCATAGCAATTTCTATCCCAACTTGTATCACAGTTTTGTTGCGACACAAGTTTGCTCCGTCTCGGAGCAAAACACCCTCAGCCTATTCAACAAATATATAGCATGAACACGAGAACTCGAACCCAGGCCACACATCGGTGGGAGAAGAAGTGTTCTCACCACTGCACCATTCTTGCTGTACCAATGGTTACGTGTGGCCACAAGCAAAGTAGAGTAAAGTTCAATCGTAGTTAATAATGTGCAATAGTTCTAAAGCCACAAGGGTCTTATTCTCTAAAGACCTTGTCAAGAGGGTTCTTAGACTAGCTTTTGATATGTAATGTTTTTAACCTACTATGTAATATATTTAGTGTTTTTATCTTTATTTAATTTTTAGCGTTGTTTACTCTTAGCGTTAATTATTATGCTCATTTTAGATTTTATTGTCTTTTAACATTTACGTGTTGTCACGCGCTTTTGATCATATTTGCATGGAAAAGGAGCGTTATAAATTTTTAATTGTTATTATTATTATTATTATTATTATTTAATTATTAAAAGGGGACAGAAATATACCTTTCAAAATCAGCATGGCTTACAAAATGAAACGTAAAGGTGGGAATCCGAGATTTTTAATTTCGTCTGAGGTCTGTTTCAAACGTTTTCCTTCTGGTGTTCTAAGCTTGCTCGACTTCTACACGACTCTAGCACGACATAGTTTGACTAAGTCACAAAATAAAAGCGGTTTTGTGAACTTTTAGCCTGAAACCAGGCACCGCATTGACCCCGTTTTTCGCCTTTTCCCCACCGTGGAGCCTGGTCCCAGGCTAGGGAACTTTTTTTTAAAATGATTTATGAATTGAGTTCGGCACCGTAGCACGACGGTTTGAAACAGGTCTAAAACGGACATCTTTGGGAAGAAGCAAGTCTGCCTTACAGAGAGTGGAGGAAAATATAACTGAACTGAAGACCAACAGGGATCAACTCTAGGTGTCCCCCTTACAGGGGGAATCAATAGAAGGACTAGAGAAGAACAATAGGGACCAACTCTACAGCTGATAAAGTCAGCTGTAGAGTTGGTCCGCTGTAAGGCGGCACCTAGAGTTGCCGAAAAGTCGTTTTCTCCTCTCAGCAGTTACCGAGGGAGTAATAACGCTTCGAAGTAATCGGATGATATTCAGGGTACGCATTCATGGAAAACAGGCTTTTTCTTCGTATATACTTAATTGAATAATTTTAATACCGTATTTAGTGAAACCCAGTAAATGTAATTAAGCTTTTTTTTTTTTAATATTATGTGCCTGATGAATTTGTAACACCGTGCACAAATAAAGATTACCTTACCTTACCTCTTTTTGGGCCTGACGGTTATGATTTTTCATTGTTTTTAACCTATTGTAAGTGACCACTTGACACATATTATGATCTCTATTTTCGCTGTGTGCACTATATAACCTGGCATCAGGCCCAATTTTAGCGGTTCTCATACATTCTCTCTAACAGCTACCACTAGCCCGCCGGAATGTTATTTTCAAAGCGAAACAAAAATTGACCCTAATCTCAGGTTATACACTATGTTACTTAGAATATACGAAGATCTTTTATGGCAACATGGAACTATCATATCCTAACTTAGACATTGCAGCCGAAAAAATAATCTTCTATAAGTAGATGTACCTGGACCTCTTCTCGGAAGAGACTCCCTGTGGTTCAATTCTTGTAAGCGAACATGCACTCAGTCCTCGTATTTTGGGTGGTCGCTTACGGGAGGGTTCAACTGTAGTATAATTAATAAAATGGCAGAAGCGCACCCTACAACTACGACGAAAAATAATCCTCACAAATGCTGCGCTTTGCAATAATCATTCCGATAACAGGAGAGACTTGACGTTTCACGTATTTCGGAAGGATTCTTGCCCAAGGTTAGTTTCCCTACTGTCCACTGCACTTTTCAAGGCACGTTCAATTACCTATTGGGGTTAATTTTTAGTCCCTAAGTCACAAATCTTCTTATTTTCCTTAGGCCTCACTTTCACGCTTACGTTGTGCGCAAAGCAGAAACAGAATTGTTGTCTTCGCCAACATACTCAAACCGTAATATCAATCAAGAAAAGGCTCCAAGTTAAGATCAGCAAATAAGTTGTGAGGAAATAAAAGTAATTGAACTGAATATATGAGTCATAACCAGCCTGATTCTCAGAGCGTGAGTCCAGTTTCTCGAGGGCGAAATAACTCAGTCTAAAGAGACGATCGTGGTAACCCACGAAACCAACAGTCAGTGATACTTGTGATTTATTAGTATTTCGCTGTTGGTTATGTACAAGTTATCACTTAACTATAAAAAAAAATCGCACGTGATTGTATATACAGCTGTACTCGCAGGCTAGTGATTATAGCTAGCAAACTAATTGATCTGAGGGGTCTGCAGCGAATTGCGCTAGTGAAAATTTCAATCCTTCCCTCTCTCGCTCTCAACCAATTGTTGCTGTTCGCTGCCTATTTTCTCGCGCTTTACCGACAGGAGAAATTCCTGCTGACAAGGCAACTATTTTGGTCCACAAGCGAGATCTTCCAAGGGCAAAAAGGCGGCATTTTACTAGGAAAGCTACAACTATCCACTGTGACAATTAGCAAGGTCGGCAGTAAAAAAAAATTCAGATCGTAACTTCTGCTAGCGTTAAAAATGTATAGTACCTCCTATTCATAGACTTAACTTCTCTTACCGCCAATGGTTCACCTTTTTTTACGACAAATTCGTCTTTAACCTCCTCATAAGGCTTTCAAAAAAGAAAGACCTGGCAACATGTTTTTTGTATAACTAGCGACCTTTGCATAACCCCCTATTCACATGAACCAGGATTACTTTGCATATTGCAGTACTCTCCGCACATAGTGTGTAATTGAACGTGGTTCCAACATTTGTAAATCACGACATAGCAAGTTATTTTTGTCACAATAGATGATCGCAAAATTGTTCTAGGTACAAGATGTTACCTTATCAAACTAACAGAAAACAATAACAGATTCTGCGGTCCTTCCTCACTTCAGTACTTCACAATCATTTGTTAACAGACTAGGGCATCCAACTTCCACAGTCGCGTAAATAGTTTTACATTTTGCTTTCATACCCGCGTATGTTCCACCGGTAAAAAAGCAGCCATAACGTTAATTAAAGACCTTATTTAAATATCATCAAGTCTTGTAAAGTAAATGAACACAGCTTTGATCAACGATCACCCCACGAAATAAAAAGCTCGACGAATCCGATGAATATGGACACATATCAACAATTTTCGTTACTGTTATATATACATCTAGGTTTGCTAAGCACAAGCACGATGTTCCAGTTCATTTACTATGTGTTCATTGCTTTCAAAGGACGCTTTACACGTTCCACTGGCGTTTGGGATCTATTTACTAACGGAATCTTGCTGCTGACTGTAAGGTTGGGAATACTGGAAGCTTTAGTCAGCGGTCTCTCTCTATTCTCTTTATCTTTGGGTGTGTTAGCTGACACTCCTTTACCGCGGGCTGCAGCTGTAACAGGCTGGCCAAAAAATAAAAACAAGAAGTGAGCGAATTCTCCCCTTCAATTTTTTGTTTAGCAGGCCTTTTTAACTCATTCATGGGTTGAACTTTTGCTTCGAACTGTCACGTATAGTGTTCATGATAATGAAAACGGCCGTCTTTAGCACTGTTCTTTTCAATACAAAAACCAAACTAGTTAACTGTGACCTTAAATGAAACGCGGACATTCAAAATAAACCAGTCACAACTCGAATTATAGATAACTGGTGTCAAGCGAAGCACGGGAAAAGGAGAGCAAGGGGAAGCATAAAATAATGGCGCATAAAATGGTGTGTATATGGAAAATCACAAAGCACGGCAATGAACCACTAGAGTAATGACAAAAAAAATCTTCTGATATTCAAGTAAACAGATGAAGCAGAGCTATTCTTACCCGAGGTTCAACAAACACCGGTTCATCTGCCGCAGATTCTCCTTCCTCAAGACTGTCATAATCAGGAAGAAGAGCATCGCTCTCACTTGCATGTAGTGGGTACACGCCATTATCGGAACTAACCGTGCTACGAGTGCTACCGCGGCTCAAATCAAACACTGGAACTCCTTCTTCACTTGAAACACTCTGCAGAGAAAAGTGATAAATTAGTGCTGATGTCCTGACATTTCGCCCTCGCAAAGTTTAACTTCGCTCATTCGATGCCTGTAGCAGGTCCATCAGGACGCGTTTTTCGAGGCAGTCACAATATTTTAAGTTAAAATGAATGGTGAGGATCTTTTTTTTTCTGACCAGTATTTGGCCTTTCAAATGGAAAACACTTGTTGTCTCATTTGATGTTTTATTTGATGCCTGTGGAATGTCCATAGGCCTTTTTTCCAAAAAAAAAAACTATAATTCCTTTTGTTTTCCCTCCTGTGGGGTGATTGTAAGTTCCCAGAGACATTAAAAACAATGCTTATGCAAAATTTTGGAGGGACAACGAAGTATATTATTGTAGTTTTTATAAAGACCTATTTAGACACGCTTTTCTTGACAAACACAATATTTTAGGTTTAAAATGAATGGTAAGACTCTTTTCTTACCAACCTGTTTTTTGCCTTACAAAAGGTAAATGCATCTTGTCAATTTAAACATTCACAAGCAACGCCTTTTGTGGGTTTATATTCTTTATCCCTGCCATCTGTCAAATTAGCTTCCGCGGTGTGTCTCTCAGGAGATAAGAAACCAGTGACCACGGTAGCACTTTTGCTCGGTGACACAAAACGGATAACTTAGAAAATTGCTCAAAATGACTAGCTAAAATGTATGGACGGGGAAGGATTTTACGGAGCCGTTATCTTTTACATCAGAAAATTAAAAGATACGCATACCTTGATAGGTACAGGCTCCGGTGAAAATGGCATCTCATAACTGGCTGAGAATCTTTGCCTTAGCTGGTCGTGAGGTTCAGTTCTTACAAGCTTCGTGGGGAAGTTGAATGGGCGCCTCTGAGGCGTGGAGCCTGGAGTAAAAACACGTCAGTCGTTAACTTAAGGCTAAGAGACAAAGGAATGAACATAAGGGATGTGCACAATGTGGCTATGTCCCTCATAGAACACTGTTCACTTCCTCGATTCTAGAAGTACAATATTATTGGACAGGACGAAAACCGAAAAAAACAAAACAAACAAACAACAACAACAAGAAGCAAGCCCCCCTCCCCTCCCCCCTGGAGCATAATCGCAGGCTAACCTGCCTTTGGTCCCTGTCTTTTTTCAGTCATTTTCCTTGATTCTTCACAAGACTAATAAAACTAAAACAAACCCGTAGGAAGGTCGTCTTTAAGTTCATCCACCAAAAACTTGCTGACTCTGGTATCAACTTGCTCCATACGTTTGCTCTGGTCACATGCCCATGCGCTGACAGCTTCTGATTGGTTGGTTAGTTGTAACTCTTGAGTTGCCGCCATTTCATCTAGAGTGTTACCATGGCAATTAAGTACTTGCTGCACGTCATTCAAGTGTTGTTGTACTTCTTCTCTGCATACCTAAACAACAATTTTCTTTTAATTGGCGACGGATACATTTCAGTGACTAAATCGTAAGTAGAGCAAAAGCCGCAGAGTAAGTGGTGCCAGTTTCTATGTAGCCAGTTTGAAAGGTTGCCTCTGTGGCCGCGGTGTGTAAGCCAGCGAATGAAAAAACATTTTACAAACATTTTTCCTCGTATCGACACGGTTATCAGTTGTCACATTTGCCGATTTTCCCATTTATAGTAAATTCAGAAAACAAGTAAGTAAAGACTCGCGCCTATTAAAGTTCGTGTTTGCCCACCCCAATTTGTGATTTGATTCAACATAAAGAGTCTCATTTGAGCAACGACGTGAAATGTTGAAAAACGAAGAAGAGAAGTAAAAACAGAAGCAAGAAAATCCAGGAAAACGTAAGGGTGAAGAATATCACGTAAATAAACCTTGATAGAGCACTGCTGCTTCGTCGAACAAGACTTGATGGCGTCCATGTGCTGGGTAAAGGATTCATTCAACATGTTTTTCCACTGACCAGCCAGCTACAAAGACAAAAAAGATCGCAAACTAAGAGAATCAATCTTAACGAAAAATCTTAACATCAACCCGTACGCGGCTATCTGATACACGTGAACCAAAAAAAGCAACAGTTATTGGAGCATTGCCGGACTGAGTTCTCACATACCTCGTCAACTTTGTGAGAAACATTAACAACATCCACCTCGACTTCTTTATGAAGATTTGCGGTCGCCTGCAACTGCTCCACGCCCTAAAGAGGAAAACCTCGTCAATACTCTTAGTTAAATAAATGTTTAGGCGAGGCCATTTGGCTTAAACAGTTGCAACATCAGGTTAATCTGCTTAAATTATGGAACTACATTGTCAACAGGTTGGATGACGTTATTCACATGATAAATCGCTATTCTAGCGATAACATTTGTTCAGCGGACATGTATAGTGCTACTATATCATAGCTCCTAACAACTGAAACCAAAAATAAGGCTTTCTTAATGGCCATCAAACATTTAGGGTAAATACAACTCATCAAGTTTTCAGAATTTTGGTATGTAAAAGCATGCTTATTCTTCTTAACGACTAACATCTTAGAGAGTAATTCCTTGTCTCAACCATAGACAACAAAACAGTCGGTTTTTTGTTTCAAAATCGTTTTTTAAAACGCACGAAGTGCCGATGCGGCGTGAGAGTGTCAGACCCGCGAAGAGTACGAGCATCTCTCTCTCCTCTCGTTTTACTATTCGCGCGTACTTCAATGACTAACCAAAATACGGAATTTTTTGCAATCTACCCAGCAACCCTTCTCCAACGCAAGTATCTGTAACGTATTGTCTTTATTAACTGCATAAATGTTTCGTACCTGTTGGAATTTAGATTGTGCCTCACTGTTGTTGTCGTTAACAGTTTGAACGCAGTTTTCAGAGAACTGGGAGGCGCAATTCTTCAAAGAGTCACAGTAACTAAAATAAAAACAAGATTCCAAGTTAGATTGAAAGGAGACTCTGCCAGTTTGTAAACCATAAACGTTTAAATCTGAACTTTCTTCTCACCTTCTTAGATTTGTGCGTGTTGATTCCGCATTCTTAAGAGCTTCTGTCGTGACTTCTTTCACCTTTAAATGAAATAAAAAATTGAGTGTTCATAAAAAATATATATATAAAAATAACTTTGGAAACATCTCTCTACGGGAGATGAAAAAACATCCCACTCCGACCAGTAAACATAAAAACAAAATCATGTTAAAAACCGCTCAAAATGAAACACGCAACCGTAAAAATAAGTATCTTCTTAAACTGAATCTGATTTTTGTGTGCCATTTTGGATGGTTTCTACACCGTCATAGCATGATAAGAAGAATATGAAAAGTTCACAAGGTTTCTGCTGTTTCTGAGGCGACTGCAGCGTTCATAAATTGGTAAGTAGTTCATAAATGGTAAAAGAATACTCATGCAGAAGACAGGCTTGAATCTAAATGTGGGTCGAGGCATGATTAACAATTATTGCACGAGGTCGAGCAAAGTATCGTGATCTGCCAGTCACTAACAAATCACGATATTTTGCGAAGACCGAGTTTAATTCGGTCGCCGAGTATGTTTCTTTGTTTATTTTTTTTCAATCATTATCTGCCACTTTGCCATTTTCACGCAAAGCGACGAAAGAAGGAGAAAAGCGTGCTAATGAAAAGGGAGAAAAATTTGCATGGAATTACAATGACGATGATTTGCTTGACTGCGGCAATTTTCTGCAGATAGTTTCTGTTTTTAACGCTCGGACTTTTTAGAATTTTGAAGTGTTCTACTCGTAAAGTATATCAAGATTCAGCTTGAATCAAAAGAATATTGACACAAATAGTACAACTTGGGTTCGGCTTTTCTGCCATTCACCTTCCCAGTATCAGTTGTTAGTTTATCAGTCTGTTGATCCACCAGGTCCTGAAATAATGACATCACTTCTTTGAAAAACGTCTGCTGTAGTTCCTTTGAAAACAGAAAGCAAAATCCGCTCATAAACGATGACTTATCGAGGATAGCCCGCGAGCAGGCTCACTTCCATTGTGCGAGTCTTGTGAAACTACACTATGCATTTCTATGCAAGCTACAATTAGCAATCACAAAGGAAGAGTACTTCACATAAATTACCTTTATTAAGACTTTCTGGTTGGTCATAACAGAATCTGTGTGAGTGACAATGTCTCCATAAGCTTGGGCCTTAAAAAAAGAGACACCTCAATAATGCATGAAGGATTAATTTTATTCTGAGAGCATTAAGTTCGAGCTGTCCAATTTTAACCGGTAGTGAGTGTACAGTAGTGAGTGTCGATCACAAAAGCGATGTCATTGACATGCCAAACGTGACGGAAGTTGAATGTACAGTCTCAGGAATTTGTAATTAGCCTTTACAAATATATCTGTCTCACAGAAAGTTAACTTTAAGCCAACAAAAATTAATTCGTCCACAGACAAGCGAAGGCTCTTTTCCTTGCCTGAAGCGCGCCGAATCGTCACTAGGCTCCGCTTCGCCGGGCGCGTCCGGCCGGTCCCATTCAGGAGAATTTGCTATATGTCATAAATCACCCTCACTGTCGGTATACTTTGACAGCTTTAGACGGTATTTTTCACTGATATTTCTGGCAAACCTTTTGCTGAATCCTCTAAAAATGCGAGACCTTTTTAACTACCTAAAATACTTACAATAGTGCTGGTGAATGGATAACATAGATGTCGCTTAATGTTTACTGTCACGATTTTCGAATCTTTTTTGTTCTCAAAACACCCATTGTGTTTCAAGGTACATTGTACAACGTACATAAAGAAGGTTCCGCCAAAGGGATTCAAGCAAAATTTGACTTACTTGTTCCTGAGACTGCCTGTCAATCATTTCTTCTAAACTGTCGATCATTGATCCTTGACCCTCCACAAAGGTTTTCACCATTGAAGAAAACTGATTCATCTAAAAAATCACAAAGCGTTATGAACTTTCAGAAAGCAAAATAAATTTTGAACGCTTATCCGACGAGCAAAATAGAATGAAGCTTTAAAATACCTTTCGTTTTAAATTCTTACGCGATTTTTCAAAAACGAGAAATTTTAAGCTTTCAAGTAGCTTGTACAGCTGTAGTGAAATTTCCGAAAGAAGCGCGAAATGTGCATTTTATAAAATCGTAAAATCAAATTAAAAGAGAAGCAAAAACTTATGTAATAATAGATCCGGTCAAAAGGACAAAATTCAGCCTTTTTACATGTAAACATGTTCAGCACAAAATTAGGCATTCACCTTATCAGTAAAGAAGACCATAAGCTGCTCCTGAAAATTCGCCATTGACTGCACGGAATTTTCAAGAGCTCTCATTTTTGGGAGAAACTCCTCATTCCTTAGTGTATTTAACCTTGAAGAAATGTTCTCCTGGGAAAAAAAACATCAAAACCATTAGAATTTTATGTCTTAGTTTTAGAACTTCAGTCGTGAACCAATAAATTATAACAATGACCCAGGAATCATTAATTATAGAATCAAAGCTCTAGTAAGAGACCAAAAGATAAACTTTATTGAGCGTAGTCGTCTATACGAGAGCTTTTAGCCGAATAACGCCTTTTAAAGCCAGCCGCGCCCTTTTCTGGTCTCTTCTTTACACAGCCTAAGTCACAGGTCAAACAGGGTTCCACAATGCTGTTAGTAAGTAAAGCTGGTCGCATGCGAGAGTGGTCGCAAGGATAGCATCAAATGCATGCACCGCACTCTTCGCTCTATTAAAAACAGCCGGATAAAAGATATACCCGTCATAACGAGGATATTTTACGAGTCCCTGGGAACTTCATGATATTAGTATTCAACGGGTAGTTTACTGCAGTCTGCAGAAAAACCTGCACAAACGGTAATGATACCTTTTTATCTTGATTTGTACTGGAACTGGTGCTGTACAATTTGGCGTTAGCATCAACTTGCTCCTAAAAATGAAAGAACAAAATGAATTAAACACCTGCGACTATCCCCTACCATCACGTAAACATCACTGTTAGCAATAAGAAAAAGGCAAATAAATATATTTACTAAACAGGATAGGAAAACTATTGTAAATCAAAACTGTGTTTTAAACGTAGAGCCTGAACCTTAATTAAATAATCAGTAAAAACTACCTGATCTCTGAAAGAGATTTCTTGCATTTGAGAAGCCACGCTATCCGTGAACATTTGAACTTGTTGCTCAAGTTTCTGGGATTCTTCTTTTTTCTTTGAAACAAGGTTCCCTGTTCAATAAAATAACCAGAACAACAACAAAAAGGAAACATCTTAAATCAACATTTGAATTTGTCCACAAATTTTCGGGCCACTCAGTTACATTTTACAGGGTAAAATTCTCTCAAGTTTTTATGGACAAAATGGTCTCCGAATACCATGCGAAAAACCGTTGACAAAACCAGGATCGGACCGGATTCCTATCCATAACCTTTTGCCATTTTTTAGTGAGCATGGTTCGTACAACTTCAGACAAACAAATTTCAAGGACTTTTCAAGGATTTTTCAAGGAATAATGAATCGCCATTCTTTAACCCCCTTTGATCACCCTATTGGCTAAAACAGGTCATGGAGTCATTTACGATTTGTACTTCTTCAGCCGTCGTTGATCACATCAGTATTTCATACTACTTTCCACAACGACTGGGTATGACTTGCAATTGCATCAAAGGTACAGAAATAGCATTTGAAATAAAGAAACAGAAATAAAATACTGTTCATGAACAAATATGTTTTTACGTTACCCCTGAGTTTTACAGGTTGTGACACCAAGGATGAGCCAAATTTTCCTCGGCAAAATAATCTAATTTTACAGCGTAGACTAGGTTGTGAATTTCCGGAGGACTTTTCAGGACCTAATAAAGAAATATCAAGTACTTTTCAAGGACCTAAACCGAATTTAAGGACGTTTTAAGACCACTAGTAAAATTCAAGACCTTTAAAAGATTTACGAACCATGGTGAGTTCCATGCGGTACGAGCCACCGAATTTTTTTGACAGCTTTGAGAGAACGACATTAATTCTTCACGGTTTTAGTATGTCATCTTACCTAATGTTTTCTTCATTGCATCAAAGAAGACGACATTTTCTCCTTGGAAATGGTTCAGATTCTTCATGACTGCTTTAACCATTCCTTTGCAATCAGTTTCGAATGATTTACGAGCATTTGAGTTGTGAGCCTCAACACTGTGCTTGCGATAAAGTTTTGAGTGAAGTCCATCCACATGAGACACCGTGTCTTTGACAACAGAGAGAAGGTTTTCAGCTTGCGAATGCAATTTCTGTTCGTTTCTGCTGTGCTCATCCACAAGGAACTGATTCTCATCTCTTTTAGCGACAGTTGTTTTAAGCGTACATTTAGTTTGCTGCAGTTTAAGACTTGTCTTGTTTAGCTGAGTTTCTTTTTCAACCAACTCCACGCATCTTTCTTCAAGTTCTTGTTGTGTGTCTGTAAAAAGGTCGGTTAACTTTCTCATTTCGTCCTCAAGAGCTGCGATTTTAGCTTCTTTTTCAGCAATCAGCTCATGTTGAGATTTTATTTCTTGCTGCATGGCACTGTATAAAATAAAAGAAAGATTGATTCATATCGTCTTTTTTTTATCTGGCAGACTGCTCCTTTTTTTTTTCAAAATAGTGGGCGGTTTCAATTTAACAAATTCCGGTTAAAAATTTCGGAAATTCCACGTGCCGATGGACCGGTACCTTCTGGTTGCATAAGCCCGACACAAGCCACCGCGCGTTTGTGTAAGCAGGATACAAAAGAGCAGAACTGGGGACAACAATTTTTGTCAAATGGAAACGGACATTTCGGTCAGACCTACCGAGATAACCGGACCGGTCAAAGTGGACCACCTTCAAAGCTGGTCCCGAATATTCTGATCGGACCAAACTGAAATGGTCCCAGTTCCATTTGACGTACCAACCGAAATTTCCGGAATTCTACATTAGCATAGTATGTCTTCTATTTTACCCAAAAGGTGGCATGATGCTTTTGTTCAAACCTTTTTTGTGGTGATGTCCGACCAAAATTTTGTTTTATCCGATCCAGGTGGTGTCTTAGTAGGACATGATGTCCTTTCAAGAAAAAAAAATATTCGCAGCCCTGCTCTGATGTTGTCTGCTTTGGAGAGATGGTGACTTACTAAAAATAATACCGTCTAATGTATTGTCATAAACCCATTGATTAAAGTAAACATACTGGTAATTTTCCTCTGCAATATAAATGCCATTTTTCTCTCTTGCAGCCAAGAGGTCCTTTTTAAGCTTCTCAATTTCTTCAGTGTACTCCTGAAATCCAAAAATAATATCTATCTCATCATTACATTCCACTGATATATCAGTGCCAAAAATGGGAAAATGAATCTACTGATTATGGTTATGTTAGGTGTGGTTTTCATAAAAAAGGGGGTTTAAATATCACACAGGGCAGTGGCAGCCCTGATCACATTGTAAATAGTCCCTCAAGAGGGTATATATTAGACATGACATGACTTAATAATGGTATTTTATATTATTTTGAGAATCACTGCATTCCATTTCATGGTCAAAACAAAAAACAAAATAAATGTGAACGAATGATAGTGCCTTCATGATAGCGTCGATTATCACTACAGTATATGTAAGTTAATGACTGTATTTATTTTATTAATAATTTACGTTGTGCAGGTAAAGAAGTAACTGTCACAAGGTTTATTTCAGAGGATTTTGTATCAGCTGAGAGGTTTTTTTGTCCTGACTGTGAGACCAATGAATTGACAGAAGATCATGGTTTACCTTGATCAGAGTTTTCTTGGTTAGCTTCTGGTTGACTTCAGGTCTATTTAAGATGTTCTTTGCCCTATGAGCATAGTCAAGAGTGCTGAGTGTTTCCTGTAATAATAACACATAAACCCAAAACAGTTAGTCAGAATTTTACTACAACAATGACACTACATATGAATCATGCAACTTAAAGTATTGTGAAAAAAGACAATTTCATAACTTAGAAGCTAATTCTGTAGCGCACCTCCAAGTTACAAAGGGCTGGTGAGATGGTGGCAATTATTGAGGTCTTTGTTCGTCCTCCAAGAGAATCTTGCAGCAGCCGGGTAAGTTTACTTTCTCTGTAATTAAAAGGTAACATCAAATTTGTTAAATTCAACAAATTATCATTTAATGAATTTTTTTTTTCTAATCAGTTAAATAATAATAAACATTGAAATCTTTAAATACGCTATAAGGCAGTTAGTGAGTTTGAAATCACAGATAACATCTGGATCCATGCTTAAAACTTGCTGTTTTTCAAATGGCTCATTATAATTTCAACACTTAGAACAAATGCTTGCAAGAGCACTGTCTAGTTTATTTATTCATTTATTTTTATGCTTATAAAATTGATAGTATTGAATTAAAGTTTACATGCATGTAGAGAGTACCTGTAAGGTATGTGAGGCGCTCTTTCTACTAGTGATGTGATCACTCTTCCAAGCGTCAGCAAACTCTGATTGATTGTGCCTGTCAATAAATTCATGTAAAAAAACAAATCTCTTTGCTAAAGACTCTGCACTATAACATACCCAATGTAGTTTCAGTTTTTTGCCTCAATGACTCAATCTCTTTCACAGCAGCTCTCTGAGTTATATGATGAAAAATTAAATATATCAACAAGCTATTCATAAAATCTTGATAAAACAATTTCCTACCAGCTTCTCTGAGTCGTTTGTCCACAGCACCTGATCGGCCAACGTTCTCACTTCCTGCTAAATCCACCTGAACAAAATGACAAACAAGTTGCAAGTGTACTCTGTAGGATTAGAGTAAAATCTATTCTGCTCAAAGTCCTATTCTTATCCATGTTTTTTCTACAACTTCTCTTTCTCTTTTGCAGAGTAGCAAGATAGTGTCAAAGACTTTTGATTTTTCTAATTAAGTATCCAGTTATTTTAAGAGAAAGTTGCGGTATTGATATATTTAATCTTGCACAAAAGTAAGCTACGGTGTACATGTAAAAGTAATTTATAATAACAAACATCTATTAGGTTAGAATTTAATTCTGCATATAAAGTAGCGCAATCAAGGCTTACCAAATTCAATTTGCCAATTTTCAATAGTTCTTCACCACTGACAGAATTCTCTTTGATGTGAATGGTCACTGAGAACAGTGAATGAGAACGACTGAAAAAAAAGACACAACAGATTATTTTGTGTATGGTCTGCTGCAGTGCACATAAATTATAACTGAGTAGGTTCACCTTAAAGAAATTCAGTTTTACTGTATGATGTGGCTATATAAAATGTAATTTAGGAGAGGTTAAACGAGAGACACTGCTGGCTGGCGGTCTCCATCACTAATCGTATGTGGGGTGGTCTTTGGGCGTTTGCAGCAGCAGGGCTCCTGTAATTTTACTGACAGTGCTTTTGTTGAGGTCAATCATTTCAATTATGTTGCCTTGATGTTCATGAGTCACTTTTATTAGCTGTTTTTGCTACCAGTCCCCTCTTCCTTCTAGATTTCCATTGTAAAAGTATCTGCAATTCTCTCCACCGAGAACCTCCGTGTCACAGTAGCTTTGGTGGGACCAGGCTCCGGCGGGGGGGGGAGGCAAGAACAGGGTGAAGTGTAATGGTACCTATTGGTTGCCTCTCACAGGATTGTAATGCCAAAAAAATTGTTACCTTCCACACTCGCTTGCAGCTGTCTCAGTATGACCACACACCTAAACTATACATTGGTGAGTTTAACACATTCCATCCCTCATTATCGTTACTTTACCTAGAATGTGCATTCATTAGAGTGGCAGCCGTCTGCCTCTTAGCTCGGCCTCTCTCAAGAATATTGTACACATCATCTTTATCATGGACCACCAGTTCCTCTAGTCCTTGTATGACGACTGAACCCTAGAATGCACACTAACAGCATTAATGTTTAGCCTGGATGGAGTACTCAGACCCATGAGAACAAAAAGGACAAGAGTAACCTGCAATTTGTCTTTTACCATTCACACCACCTGAAATTTTGCCAAAAAATGCCTTTTAACTCAAGTTAGTTTAGCTGTTTTCTGATCTTTATCTGGCCAAAAAGAACCAAACTATAAACTAAAATGCAACCCAAATCAGGGTGCAACGAAAACCATTTTTTATTTAACAGCCCGCCCTTCGGGCAACTTGTAACTAGCATGTACTAGCGCGAGATTTTTCGTTTACAGGTTTTTACCAGAATTGAGTAACTTTTAACTGAAATTCTATGTGGCTGTTTGAAATTTCCCCAAAAACTTTCACTTGCCCGTTGGGCTAGAAAAGCACACAATCCATCAGCCCAAATGCAAATGCAATACAATCGGACACAGCTTTTGTTGCCCCAAATTATTAGAAGAACAATATTGGCACTGACAATAATTATCTGGGATTGGTTGCAATGACAACTCATACGCTTGCTGTTACATGTATGTCAGGATCAGAGGCTGGGCTGACTGGTGTTTGAACAACTGTAGGCTCTTGCAGGTGAATTATTTTTGGAAAGCCCTAGTCTTTGATCATTGTTCCTGAAGTCTTACCTTGCGAGTGGAATCCTCAAAAAGACGCATTTTTTGACTGTCCAAACTTGGGCTCAGTAAATCAAAGAGCTCTTCATTGTAAATTTCTAAAAATGACACTCTGACAGAGAATTCACAATCCTGAAACACAAATTAACATCAATATTATTATAATTATTACCTGTCTAAATAATAGTACACTTAAATTTAACCTACAATAATTATTTTTAACAAGCACACAAAGCCCTAAAGAAAAGAGAGCCACGAGCATCATCATAACTGAGCCCTTATGACCTAAATGTAGCCAAAATCATTCATTTTGTTCAGTGACTCCTTTTAATGTTTCAGTAGTCCTCAGCAACAGGATTCATGGTAAAATCTATTTTGTCAGAGCTGGAGGCTCGAAGTGGAAGGATGAACTAATAACAAGGCTGCATGCAGGTTCCAACAATTTTTTTATCATTTTGCTTTCATCTCCAAGCTGCCATGATTCTTTCAGCATTTTCACTACCATATGTAGGTGTGTAACTTGATAAATAAACTCACTGTTTGACTGTTGAGTTTTTCCAACAACTGATGCATAGTGCGTGGAATTATTCCGGCTGAAGGATCCTAAGGTAAACAACGGTAAAAATTAACAACACTTTAGAGATAAAGAAAGCCAGGTTTTGAAGTCCAGATGTGGTGACGATTTCACAGTCAAATCACATACCTCCTCCCAAGAGCAATCTTCCTGACTTCTCTCTCCTTCCATCGTGTATGTTTTACCTGTTCCTGTCTGGCCATAGCTATGATAACACGAAAGATGTTATTGCTGCTACTTTTGTTGAGTGATATAAATGATGTGGTACAGAATCACAAATGCATGGGGATCGCCAGCCATGGAATCAATTAATTACTGTCTAGGGATTGGCTGGTCACAGTGATTAGGCCCCCCCTTCTATACAGTATTAAGAACAGTATTTGTTGACAACATTCATAACACATGAATGCTGTCAAATCACAGGCAGTTAATTAAGGTCATGAGCATGACTGCACAGCCCTGCAACATGACATAATTTACATGTAGAAGCTGCTGTCTTAGTAATTCTTTCATACTTACGCAAAGATTGTACAGTTGTATCCCATCAAAACTTCATCCAAAATTGGCACCACAACAGAGCGATAAACATCAATCTGTTTAGTTTCAGGGGCAAATACTCGATCAAATGTGAATGTTTTTGTTGTTGTTGACACAGAAGTGGTGTTACCAATGTCATGTTTAACAACAATTTCCCGTTTGGATGGCTGGCATTTGACCACAGATGGCGAGCCTTCTTTGATTTCTTTTGAATTACGAGGTCTAGAAAATAAAAGCAAACTTTATAGTTTGGTCTTACGTCAAGGAAAATACAAGAAATCACAAATGAGGTTTACAGTGTACAGTATGTCATTAAGTGGCATAACACCCTGCAAAGTTTATATCATGACAGGAATATGGATGCATATCACATGAATCATTGCAGGTACATATGGTTTGAGATAACAGATTACCACACTTTCATAACTGCACATGAGGCACGTCTTAAATGAAATAATAAAGAATACTACATTACCATTCATAGATCAGCGTTTCTTCACAAATTGAGTTCTCAGATGAAGGTCGCAATATTTTTCGCACTAAAAGATTGACTCGCCATATTTAATTTTTGTCTCATATCGCCGGTCATAAAACGACATTCCAATAAAACTATCCCTACTGTAACCCTCTGTACATCCCGCCGAAAAGTTAGAAATGATACGCAATTGAATGACTAAAATCATAAATATTCTAAACTTAAGCTCTTTTCTTGCTCAATCGATCGCACGATTGACAGAAGAGAAAAACGTAGCAAAATTTATCACGGCCATCGTCTTTGTGTGCAACTCACCGACACCGTACGACCACTTGAATGTTCTTTTCCTGAGGCACTTTCGTCTTCACCATATTTACTTTCCACTAAAATGTAAAGATTTTCACTCTACTTGAGCAGTTTCAAGGATATTTCGAGGAAGAAAGCTTGCTGTCCGTGACTATTTCTTTTGATCTCTCGTTCGCGTTGCCTGTAGACTCGTTCGATTTCCGAGCCAGATTTGAACGCACCAATCACATTCAAGTATTTCGTTCACCTGATAACACAAGAACGTATTCCAGCATGCATTGCGGCAAAACAAAAAATCTTCCCACGGAAAAAAGGATTATTTTACTACGGCGCGCAACATACAGCGGAATATGTTCTAGCTAGCGTGCTTCTATGCACTCTCCACCGAAAAAATGACATTCGTATTCCCGTCCATAAATGGGAGGAAACCAGAAGAGAGAAGTGGCCATGTGGCGGTTCATTTTGACGGCTATATAGTGGTCTGGGGAGGCTACCATCGTGTACGTATCGATTATCACTTTGAAAATAAGCGGCTATGAATTCATTCTTCGGGCGATACGCTAACCTTACGTTTTATAGGATCACCAGAGGTTAGAAATCTCGCGCTTCCTAGAAGATGCTCGGCTGTAGCATCATGTTTATGTTGTTACTTTAAGATTTTATCCCCGGCTTCCCCCGGTTGTCCCCTGGTACTTGACCCATGCTAGGTATTCGGGAACCCCTGCGGGTTTGTAAACCGTACGATATGTACCATGTTTAGGGGGAAAAAGGGACAAACCTCTTTATGTTGACTCATGACCTGCTGAATAAATAGAAATGAGCCTCTTCGAATTTGGATCACTAAAAACTCAGTGATACTTTGTTTAGGACAGGTCCAGGTCCAGACTTGATGGAAGTTTAAAATACCTGTCCAGGACGACAGGGCCAAAAAACCATACCCTATCCAGCGGTATGTCCCCACATACACTGTAGTCAAATGATTATGAGCAAAATTAATATAATATTGTTATTTCATTTCAGCATGGTCCCGAGGTGGCTTTTCCCGGAGTTCATTTTGTAGTTGATAAATATCACCATAGTAACGAGGTGTGGCTGTATTGCATTGAGACATCCACATGGTAAGCTCTGCCTTTCACGTAAAAAGCTCTCTTTCATATTAGCGTTTTGTCGCAACATGGTGGTTGTCAATTCTTGAAATCATTTCTATACACATTTTGTTTATTACAGCTCCTGATATTTTTAGGAAGCAAATTGAAACAAGTGGAGAAGAGCCACCTCCTATGTCAGGATCATCTGCTTGTGTAATGGAAGGAAAATCAATGTTTATCTTTGCTGGACATTGTGATGGGGGACCAACCTCCACTGTATGTTGGTAACTTGGCCTCAATACATGGTTTTCATTAAGAATTCTAGTGGCAGGAGAAAGGTGTAACATTACAGGAGAATATTGGAAAGAGGCTCCATGACTGAACGTTAGCTGGGGAATTCTGCGTAGTAAACAGAGAATTCTCTGATCTCCAATGCCTATAATAAACACCCTGAATACAGTTCTTGTTTTGCAGAATATAAACTTCACATAAGCTTTTGTGTCCTCCCTGACAACTCAAATAATTCAGGTGGCAATCAATATCAATGTTTCATGTCATTTTCTTTCTGTTTAAGGTTTTTGTATTAGATTTAAAAACATTTGTCTGGGAAAATCTGTCAAGCAGGATCCAGGGAAACCCTCCTTCACCAAGGGACAAACTGTGCTGTTGGACTCACAATGATTTGTAAGTTGTAGCGAATGAACAGTTACTGTAATTCTGACTGTACTGAGACACGGTTCATTTCAAATACAAGATGCAGTTTTTTCATCCAATATCCAGGCACTGAGAAGATGCCTTGTCATCAAGATAACAAGCTGAATATTGAATTAAACACTGTGTCAGCTGAGAGTGATATTTGTTATAGCTTCTTTAATAACAAGTCCTAATATTGCGGTGTTGATCGTTCATAATTGCTACAAATAAGTTCAAGTGAATTAAAATCGAGTTTATGTATGAATAAGTTAACTTACACAATTTTATATCCATGGTTCCACCCTCCCAAACCCCCCTCACCTCAATGTGCTGCTCTTTGTCATAGTGGGGGACTGTGCCTTGATGAGCCTGTTGGCCATATCAGCTGGATATGACACTACCATAATCTCTCTGTGAGCATTGGTATTGATCAATAATAATATAAATAGGTTCCTGGAGACAAAGAGTATAAAAAGCACTAAATATCAAATGGAATTAGAATCATGGTATTATTTGCAACTAAATTTCACCGTAGGATTCTATATTTTGGAGGATATGGCTTGACTCCAGACCCTGAGAGAGTAGACCAGTCTAACGGATATTTCACTTTTAACTCCAGTGGTGAGGAGCAATTTACAGTAAGTTAAAAATTATAGTATTCTTAAGGTTTCAACAAGACCTGGGTGAGATAAGCCTCTTGGAAGCTACTAAGTGATAGCAGTTAGGAATATGGTTAATAGGGTTGATCCAGTCCAAGTTTTGTTGACCCTGGTAATTTCTGACTGACTTATCTCATTTATTGCTGTGTTATAATTTTTGTGTGTGTAATAATTATATTATTTTCACTGATTACAGTCAACAACAACAACAACATCTTTATTTCTTACATTAAATATACAAATATCACACCACCTGCAAATAGCAAGGCTAATCGAGGCAGGTGGTGTGTAGACGGCTTACAGTGGAACCTCGATTAAATGAACCGTTATATTATAAAGACGTCCTCGGTATAACAAACAATTTTCTTCAGCCTAGCCAAAATTACAAATGCATGGAACAGAGCCTCAATATAACAAACCTCAATTTAATGAAATCCTCGTTATTACGAGCACAATCCAGAAACACAAACATAAAATATACCTCGTATAAGGAATAAATGTCAACATGTGACCGAAGGATAGCTAAAGAGGAATATGCAAAACAGACCAATACAAGGATAAAATTTTTGTGTACAGCAGTTTTAAGCAGTTTTGTTTGCCTGTTCTTGTGTTTCTAGTGCCATACCTATGTACAGCTCTGAACTGAGACAATAGATTTTTATACAAATGTTTATTACAGAAATTGGTCAGATCTGGAAATGCTGGGCATTGGAAAAAAAAAGACATTTAGCTTGTGTTTTTTTTTTTCAAAATTTAATTAAATTGAGGCTTTTGATGTAATGAACCCTCAATATAATAAACAAATTTTTCCGGTCCCTTGGCACTTCCTTAAATCAAGGTTCTTCTGTAACTATATCTTAAATGTGGTTGGCACCCTGAAGGCTAGTGTGGGAGTGGGGCCTGGGTGGGTTTAAGATAGGACAAGTAGTTCTGGGGATGATCCTGAGCATGGTAGACAACTAGTTCTGGGGATGATCCATTTCAGAATTTAGCGATTCAGTTGTTAAAGACTCTTGGGCACCCAATCGGCTTCACTTAGGAGGAATTAAGCATTAATCACAATCTAACTTAACAACAGGATAACAGAGGATGGAACAGCCACTTGTTTGTATTGGATACAAGTAGTCTAACATGGATCCAACCAAAAACAAAGGTGTGTTACAAATGTAGTTGTTCAAACTGAAATTCAGGTTCAGAGTGTTTCAACTTTGTTTGATTCTCCTTGTCTCTTAGCCCTAATAATCATTAGCATTAATAAAGTTCAGGAGACAAAAGAATTTGATGATGTCATTTATAATCATAAGTGACAAAGAAGGTGAGAATCAAACTAGGCACAAATCATTCAAGTCTGAAATATTTCATTTGAAACTACAATTAACACAAATAAATCCACCGCACACCCCTCCCCTTCTTGGGAGGTTGGGAGTTTGGGGATAGTTAAATATGGAGTGTTTCCTTTTTAGAAGCCTTGATCACATTGAAGCACTCCTTGTAGAAATGATCCATTCCACTTAAATTAAAAGGGGTAGCAGGGTTGTCAGAAAGTTTTGAAGTAGACAGCTGAGTTGTCAAAGTAAGCGGCCAGTCCGGGAATATTTTATTTAAGAAATGCCATCCGTAAAGAAATGCTAAGCAGAGTAGCCAGCCAACACTAACCAAGTAGGTGGCGGTTTTTGCCAGCAGCCAGCTACTTTTGACAACCCTGGGGTAGAATTATTTCATTTGTCAACTGAAAATTCAAAATACTGTAAAAGTAAGTGCAAAAGGTATTGGATGGATAGGCCTTATTTGACCAAGTTCTATCTATCATGGAAGCTTTCCACAGACTGGAACAAGGTTTTAACAGTTTGGCTGCTGATTCAATTCAAAAAGCTACAATACAAAATTACAAATTGACTTTCCTGTTACAACTACTTTTTTTCGTGTCTTTAGGGCAGACCACCATCTCCAAGAGCAGCCCAGGCATCTGCTCAAATTGCAAATATGGCCTATCTCTTTGGAGGAAGACATATGGTATGGTAATAAATAATAATATAGTAAAACGAAACTTGTTCTTCTGAAACTGAGGACGTGTACACATGGTCTAAATTCCTTTACTTATTTCACAACGAATCACTGGAATTTACTACCTGACAATGCTAGAACTGCTAGGAATATACGTAGTTTTACACCATTCTTAGATGACACTATAAGTTATTGTAATACAATTTGTTGTTTATTTTTTAATTGATGTACATTGTTGTAAATAGTTATGTGGTCAAAATTATTTTTAATATTATCATCTATTGTACTCGATTGTTTTATTAATATATTTTGTTTCTTGTCATTCGGAGATACTTAATAGCAGCAATGCTACTCTTTAATCTCAATGTTGAAATAAAGGTTATTTATCTATCTATCTACACTACCATAATCTTCGACAAAGATTTATTACACTATTTGCTATCTATTAAAAAGCTAAAATGTGCCTCCGCGTCAATTGAATTACAAAAAACGGTCCAGTTTATTTCTTTAAGACTATAATTAGTTATTGAAGCTATTTCCTGTGTTCGGGTTATTCAAAGCTATATTAAGATAACCCACTGCAAAATTTGAATTCATATATAAAACCTTAAAAAGCCAATTCAGTTTAATTCTCTTTGCCTACAATTTGATGATTGGATGCTCTAAAAAGAATAGTGAAAATTATTCTGCAATAAGTACAGGTGCTACAGTCTAATCTTAAAATATGAAACAATGTTTTTAGGAAAGACGGCGGAATGACTTGCATTCTCTCAACATGGACACGTTGGAATGGAGTGGCAGGTGATTTCAGTAGATTTTTTAGATATCGAAAAATTCCACATTCAGTGCCTCAGTGTTGTTGCGTAGTAGACTGTTTGATGCATGCTTGATTTGAAGAAGTTCCTTACTAACTTGATTTCATTACGTACTTTCCTTAGTATCTCTACTACGGGAAATGTTCCTCAAGGTAGAACATGGCATTCTCTATCTCCAGCAAGCGACAAACATTTGTTTCTTTATGGAGGTTTCAACAATGATCAAGACGCACTAGGTATGTAGTAGTGTGGAAAGTGCAAAGTAGTCCTATAGTTGTGAGTTGTCAAGAACGCGCGGGCAGTCTAACAAAAGGTCTGGGCTTTGAGGCTCGCGCGTTTTGCTCGAGAATTTCATGCCTCGCACCTTGAAGTACGATTTTAAGACCGTTTTGTTGTCCAACAGTATTCTAGCTTTTAAGCACTTAAGTTCAAAGAGAGAGGTCAAAGATTACAAAAATCCATTTCTCGATTGACATCCCCGAAAAGAAAGTAACGCCTGTTCTGTAGGCTAACCTCAACTATCCAAGAAAGTTGCTGCTTTATACCTGCAGGGTTTTTTAAGGCAGTCGCTGTCCGTTTTCAAGAGTACCGGTGAAGAGGATTTCTATACCTGAAAGAAAAAAGCATGAAAAGACACGGGCAGTGACTGCACATGTTTGACGACGCCTTTTTCGGAGAAAAACTGAACACAAAATATCTCAAAGATCGTTGTACCGATCAAATTCATACATTCTATCTAGGATCGTACAATCTTTCAAAATCTCTGAAATCTCTGACTTATAATTATGTTCACTGTGTTGTAGAGTGTTGTATGTCATCGCGCGAATCCGGGCAAAACGCGATCAGGAGAATCGACTTCCGGGCGAGACGACCGCAGTTCGTGAGAAAGAAGCTTTGTTGGTGAATTTTCTGAATACAGATCGCGAACAGTCTTGTGGCTCACCAGTAACTGTGAAGAAGTATGATAGAAAAATCTTAGTTTAGACATCATGCGAACAGTTGTCTATGTTATTAACAGCTGATGTTTCAGTTTATTTATATTTTGTTGTGTTCAGGTGATGCTTACATTTTAGACACCTCAACTATGACTTGGTTCCAGTTGACAATCCCTTCAAATCCAAGGTAAATAAACCTGTCGTACCAGCTAAAAGGTAAAGTTAATTTGAACCGTAAATATTTCGAGAACGGACCTCTGGGGCCAGGATGATAAAAAACAGAAGCAGTTCAAAAAGAACCCCAACAAATTGAATAATTTCGAATATTGTGATTCATTTCGGAAATTTAAATATTATTTAAGCAGTATATTGCCTTAATCTTTCGCTTTATCAGTATGCAAATGAAAGTCAGGCTTAAAAATTGCCAAAATCGGGGTATAATCGGCCATAATCGGGCTACCCCGATGATGGCTCCTGTAGGCATATTTTCCATAATGTAGTCATGTTTTATTTATCAGCTCACCAATGACCCGGATGTGGCACACAGCTTGTTGTACATCTCTTCCTGGCGAAGTTGTAATTTTTGGAGGCTGCACTTCATCTGTATTAGACGACGACCCGGTAATGTCAGTTAACTTTACTAGTAGTCGTGATCCCATACCCTATCTGTGGTGTCTAACACTTGAACTTTCCAACACGTCATGAATTATGTGGTGGACTGAAATTGTAGATCTAGCGTTAATGTCCATTCTATGATGTGACCATAGAAAAAAACCTTCCTGAGAGTTTTGTCAGTACCGTTTGCTTTTTAGAATTTTACAAAACGAAGTTGGATATTTCTTTCTCGGACTAACATCGGGGGCATAAAATCACTGTATCAGCGTGTCGCCTTCTGACAGCGGTGCATTCTCAACTCCACGTTATATACTTACAGATTCTTTAGAGGAGTAATGTTATGTTTATTATGTTTCTTTTCTGTTGTTTTTTTTTTTTTATCAAAGTTTACCCTGTTACTGTCCGTCCCAGTTAATCCAGGCAATCTACTTCACTGAGTGGTACACTGGAAAGTTTTAACACTATGTGTTCTCCCTTCTTTAGAATCACACCGCCAGTATTCTGATTTTTAGATTCACACCCCCGCGCCTGAATTGGTAAGAAGATGCTTATATAATATATGTAAAAAAACATGTGCTTTATAGAAAAGGAGTTCAGAGGACGGTAATGAGTGTGATAGACGAGCGGTGTTGTATTTGTTGCTTTATGTAAAAGGATTAAAGGTTAAAGCTTTAATTGGTTTCATGTCCTTGTTTCTATTGGCAGTTGTAGTGACCAAAGGTCCACATAAGTGCAGAACAATATTTTGTTTTTTATTATTGTGGCTGTCAGTTATTTGTTTAAGTCGGTAGAAAACTATCAGTTGGGAATATTTCCAGCAACGGGAGGGGAGGGGAGGGGAGGGGAGGGAATGGAGCTATCACCTGACATTGAGAAGACAACGCAAAGGCGTCCTCCTTTTCTCACAGCCACACATGCAAGCGAAATCGTCGGTTTAATTCGCGATCGCTCCACTATCTAAAGAGAAAAAGAAAATGCTTGCGATCTACACCTTAGCTAAATTTTATAACGCACAACGATTTTGTGCGAGGGTAAAGCATAAAGGGACGGAGAACTAAGAGGCAGGCGGTTTTACATTTATTCAGACAGACTTAAATCCTGAATTTACTTAACATGTAACTTACAGGAAGACAATTTTTCCTGCAGGTTGTGTGCTGATGCCATTGTCAACAAGTACTACTCCACAATATCCAAGCAACTCAAGTCACTTCCTAAAAATCTCCTGGCGTCACTATTCCTTCACAGAAGATTGAAAGCTCTTGGCAAAATATGATCGTCTTTACTAGCTCTTCATCACAATCCGAGCCCATTCAATCTAGTAACTTGGGTCCCAGAGAGAAGTATCTTTGGTTTATTTTTTTAAGGACAAGTCAACATTGTGTCCGTGGATTGAAAGCTCTTGGCAAGATATGATCATCTTTACTAGCTCCTCATCACAATCCGAGTCCCTTCAATTTTGTTTCTTGACTGTCAATAGCGTCTGAGGTATGCAATAAATGCCTGTAAAAAGGTTAACTTGGGTCCCAAGGAAAAGTGTCCTTGTAAGGATAAGTCACCATTGTGTCCGTGGTCAAAGCTGTGAAATTACCTAACTCCGAATTTCTGAAATTGAGAAGCATTGAGTTTTACTTCTGTTAATGTTCGGACTCCATAGTAATGTTCTATTTGTTTCTTTTTTAGATGTAAGTATTGTGTAAGAGTAAAATACATGTTAATGCCCTACAAATTTACCACTGTCGAAATTGTAAATAATGGTTAGTTATGTAAGATAGTAAATTAAAGGTACGGAATTGTACATATCAACAGAAAAGTAATTAAAATTATAAATATTTCGTCATTGTATATTGTCATATTGTTAAGTGTTTGGGAACTCATGTTCCTTTTGGTCTAACCAAACCTATATCGCCAGCAAGCTTTCGGAGAAGCCCTGGTGCAGCGTTTAACCTCCCTAGCCCCCGCCCTCAAGATTTTGTTCGTAAGATAGGTGATAGTTGGTCTAGATTACATTAGCGACGCAAGCATGACGCAGCCTGTACTTCATAAGCTCCCGGCTTCTATGTAGGCTTCCTTTTCATTACCAATTTTACCAACAAATGGATAGCCTTAACCCATGTAAGGAAGTGGTTAGTGTATTAAAGCGCGGCGATGACCTTCAATCTGAGTTCTATAAGCACTAGAAACACCTTTTACGTTGATTCCCCAGACAAAGAAGGTAGTTAAAACTCACATATTTGTCTAGTTCTGAGCGTGCGTCGTTAAAAGTCAGTAGAGACTTCAAGATCCAACGACGTGACCGCAGCGAGAGCAAACCTTTTTGCACATTTGTTTGCCGTCGCTGCACGAATACTACGTAAAAATGTCTAATTTCGCGTTTTATGGAGAACGTAAACATGGTAAACAAGCAACGACGAAATTTTATTCGCTTTCTGAACTTGGATATGTACGGAAGCCTAGAAGGGCCACATGGCGATTTCGTGTTTATTTTTCACTTTTCGGTTTTTATTTTTTACGTTTCGGTTTTTATTTTTTACTTTTCCGTTTTTGTTTTCAATGTTTTGATTTTCACTTCGTCATTTTGTTTTTCGGTTTTGGTTTTGGTTTTTAGTTTGTCCTTTTCCGATTTTGTTTTTAACGTTTTAATTTTCACTTCGTCATTTTGCATTTTGTGGCCCTTCTGGGCTTGGAAGCCCGGGGGGGCCACATAATGATTTCGTTTTTATTTTTCACTTTTCGGTTTTTATTTTTTACGTTTCCGTTTTTGTTTTAAACGTTTTGATTTTCACTTCGTCATTTTGATAGAATGTTTCAAGTTTTGTTGGATGAAAAACAACCCGGTACAAAAACTTTAAAACATCATTTAAAAACAACCCCGTATTGCTGATCACCAGCGACAGTCAGATAAGTAATCAGTAATGATCCCTTTATCGACTTTTTTATTTGAGTTGATTTTGAATTTTTTTTTTTTCGGTGAAGCTCTTTGGTTTTGTTTTTTATATCATCTGGTCATGATCGCCCAGACCCCACCAGAACCCCCCCCCCTCCCACACCACACACCATCATGAGACAAGTCTCTCTTTATGATGCAGATCGGAGCCATTCCTGTACATTGACCCGTCAGCGGTTTAAATACAGGAATAGCTCCGAGTCTTCGAGTTCAAACTGAACGCTGTTCTGCCGATATAAGTGAAATTTTAAGGTTCATACATCGACTTCTTGCTTCTTTCACTGCGTAAGACGAAACAGAAGTCACACATCACAACGACGTTAGTGATATCGTTGTCCAGTGTGACGCGTGGCTGAAAGTTAAGCTTTAACTTATTAATTACTAACTATTTTTATCCTCCAATTACAGGTCGGGGCCATTCCTGTATTTTATAGTCGCTCGTCAATCGGGCGTCCATCTTTGTGCCTCGCGCGATGTCATAAATCGGTGGATCATAGATATACGAAAATTTCGCTAAGCCGTGGGGCCCCCCACCAACTGCGAGCCACAATAACAAAACGCGCAGTGGCTTGGGTCGGGTCTGTACAACCGGAATGTACCGTTCCATTGAGCAGGCGAAATTTGCGAAATTTCAAACCGGAATTTTTGTTGAATGGAAAGCGCCCTAGCTAAGGTGTTTTTATGCACTCTCCTCCAAGAAAATGACATTTGTATTCCCGTCCATAAATGGGAGGAAACCAGAGAAGAGAATGGGCCATGTCGCGGTTCATTATGACGGCTATTTAGTGGTCTGGGGAGGCTACTATCGTGTACGTATCGATTATGACTTTGAAAATAATTCATTCTTCGGGCGATACTCTAACCTTTTACGTTTTATAAGATCAGCAGAGGTTAGGAATCTCGCGCTTCCTAGAAGATGCTCAGCTGTAGCATCATGTTTATGTTGTTTATACTTCACGATTTTATCCCCGGCTTTCTCCGGAAGTGGTATACGGGTACCTCAGCCCGTTTGTAAACCGTATGGTATGTACCCTCATGTTTTGGTGGGGGGGGGACGGGGCAAACCTCTTTATGTTGACTCATAACCTACCGAATGAATAGTTAAATACTAAAAACTAGTTGAATACTAAAAACTCAGCAACAGCCTTGCAGCTATACTTTGTTTAGGACAGGTCCAGATCCAGACTTGATACCATCCTGCAGTATGTCCCCATATACACTGCAGTCAAATGATTATGAGCAAAAGTAATATAATATTGTTATTGCATTTCAGGAGCTTTATGGAGTTCCTTTTATAGTTGATAAGATGCACAATAGTAACGAGGTGTGGCTGTACTGCATTGAGACATCCACATGGTAAGCTCTTTCTTTCATGTAAAAAACTCTCTTTTACATTAGCGTTTTGTGACAAAATGGTGGCTGTCAATTCTTGAAATCATTTCTATACACATTTTGTTTATTAGAGCTCCTGATATTTTTAGGAAGCAAATTGAAACAAGTGGAGAAGAGCCACCCTCTATGTCAGGATCATCTGCATGTGTAATGGAAGGAAAATCAATGTATATCTTTGCTGGACATTGTGACGGGGGACCAACCTCCACTGTATGTCGGTAATTCTGCGTCAATACACGGTTTTCAGTAAGAATTCTAGTTGGCAGGAGAAACGTGTAACATTACAGGAGAATATTGGAAAGAGGCTCCTTGTCTGAAAAAAAAAATGGTCATAGGCTACCGAACGTTAGGTGGAATACAGATCTTCTTTTGCAGAATACAAACTTCACATGAGCTTTTGTGTCCTCCCTGACAACTCATATAATTGAGGTAACAATTAATATATTAATTTTCCATGTCATTTTATTTCTGTTTAGGTTTTTGTATTAGATTTAAAAACATTTATCTGGGAAAATCTGACAAGCAGGATCCAGGGAAACCCTCCTTCACCAAGGGACAAACTGTGCTGTTGGACTCACAATGATTTGTAAGTTGTAGCGAATGAACTGTAATTCTGACTGTACTGCGACACAGTTCATTTCAAATACAAGATGCAGTTTTTTCATCCAATATCCAGGCACTGAGAAGATGCCTTGTCATCAAGATAACAATCTGGCCCCGGTTGTTCAAACGTCGGATAGCGCTATCCATCGGATAAATCACTATCCAGCAGATAGCATAATTGATTTCCGTAGTACTTATCCACTGGATAGCAATTTATCTGGTGGACAGCGCTATCCAACGTTTGAACAACCGGGGCCTGAACATTGGATTAAACACTGTCAGCTGAGAGTGATATTTGTCATAGCTTCTTTAATAATATTGTCCAAGTCCTAATATCTTGGTGTTGATCATTCATATAATCGGCTACAAATAAGTTCAAGTGAATTAAAAGCGGGTATATATATGAATAAATTAACTTGCACAATTTTATATCCATGGTTCCACCCCCCCCCCCCCCCATGTGCTGTTCTTTATCATAGTGGGGGATGAGCCTGGTGGCCATATCAGCTGAAGCCATTCTCGTCCCCAGAGCCTATCGTTTCTTGGTACAAATTAAGCCAAGTGGCTCTGGGGACGAGAATGGGTTAAAGCTGGAGGTAAATACTCCTTGGTACAGGTAGTTTCACTATGCTGAGCAGGTTCCAGGTTGGGATTTGGACAATGGACTTGTATTGCAGAAACTCAAAGGATACACAAAGGGAGTGTATCAATGCAAGAAGAACTGTCCGGGACTTGGTGCATATTTGGTTACATAATGGATTTAAGATTAAATTGTTTTACAACCAGAAACACGTGAAAATTCTGATGTAGCAAAGATATAGTTAGTTTTTTGGTTGCCTTTAAACCGGACTGTGAAAGCATTGTGAAACCCGCCTCTGAAAGCCTTGTGAAACCCTGACCTTTGCAAGCCTAGTGAAAACCCGCCTTTGTGAGTGATTAAAAGTGAATTGCTGTGAACACTGTCTCCTAATTGCAGCAAAGAACATAGCCAATGTACTTTACATCCATGGTGTGCACCTGGGGCGAAATAGAAAAGAATGCAGGCAGGAAACTGGTCAATGTATAACACTTCTACCTATACTACTATGAGATGACTTTAACCGTAACACTATCATAATCTCTCTGTGAGCGTTGGTATTGATCGATAATAATATAAATAGATTCCTGGAGACAAAGAGTATAAAAAGCACTAAATATCAAATGGAATTAGAATCATGGTATTATTTGCAACTAAATTTCACCGTAGGATTCTATATTTTGGAGGATATGGCTTGGCTCCAGACCCTGAGAGAGTAGACCAGTCTAACGGATATTTCACTTTTAACTCCAGTGGTGAGGAGCAATTTACAGTAAGTTAAAAATTATAGTATTCTTAAGGTTTCAACAAGACCTGGGTGAGATAAGCCTCTTGGAAGCTACTAAGTGATAGCAGTTAGGAATATGGTTAATAGGGTTGATCCAGTCCAAGTTTTGTTGACCCTGGTAATTTCTGACTGACTTATCTCATTTATTGCTGTGTTATAATTTTTGTGTGTGTAAGTATTTTCACTGATTACAGTGGAACCTTGATTTAATGAACTGCTATATTATAAAGAAGTCCTTGGTATAACGATTTTCTTCAGCCTAGCCAAAATTACAATAAAATGTATGGAACAGATATCGGTTTAATGATCCTCAATGTATTGAAATCTTGGTTATAACAAACAAAATCCAGAAACACAAACATAAAATATACCTCAATATAAGGAATAAATGTCAACATGTGACCAAAGGATAGCTAAAAAGGTAAGCGAAATAGACCAACAAGGATAAAATCTTTGTGTACAGTAGTTTTATGCAGTTTTATTTGTCTGTTCTTGTGTTTCTAGTGCCGTAGCTATGTACAGCTCTGAACTGAGACAATAGCTTTGTATACAAATGTTTATTACAGAAATTGGTCAGATCTGGAAATGCTGGGTGTTGGAAATTAATCATTAACTGTACCTTGATATAATGAACATTTTGGTTGTTTTTTTTTTCTTCAAAATTTTGTTAAATCAAGGTTATCAATGTAATGAATCCTAAACTTATATAATGAACAAAATTTCCCCAGTCCGTTGGCCCTTCCTTAAATTGAGGTTCCACGGTACTTGTGAACTGGTGTGGGAGAGGTGGGTTTAAGGTAGGACAAGTTGTTCTGGGGATGATCCTACCATTTCAGAATTTAGCAATTCAGTCCTTAAAGACTCTTGGGCACCCAATCAGCTTCACTTGGGAATAATTAAGCATTAATCACAATCTAACTTAACAACAGGATAACAGAGGATGGAACAGCCACTTGTTTGTATTGGATACAAGTAGTCTAACATGGATCCAACCAAAAACAAAGGTGTGTTACAAATGTAGTTGTTCAAACTGAAATTCAGGTTCAAAGGGTTTCAACTTTAATTGATTCTCCTTGTCTCTGAGACAAAAGAATTTGATGATGTCATTTATAATCATTAGTGACAAAGGAGTTGAGAATCAAACTAGGCTCAAAATCATTCAAGTCTGAATTTCATTTGAAACTACAATTAACACAAATAAATCCACCGCACACCCCTCCCCTTCTTGGGAGGTTGGGGATAGTTAAATATGGAGTGTTTCCTATTTAGAAGCCTTGATCACATTGAAGCACTCCTTGTAGAAATGCTCCATTCCACTTAAATTAAGAGTGGTAGAATCATTTCATTTGTCAACTGAAAATACTGTAAAAGGAATTGCAAAAGGTATTGGATGGATAGGCCTTATTTGACCGAGTTCTGTCTATCATGGAAGCTTTCCGCAGACTAGAACAAGGTTTTACAGTTTGGCTGCTACAAAATTGCAAATTGAGTGTCCAGTTACAACTACTTTCTTTCGTAACTTTAGGGCAGACCACCATCTCCAAGAGCAGCCCAGGCATCCGCTCAAATTGCAAATATGGCCTATCTCTTTGGAGGAAGATATATGGTATAGTAATAAATAATATAGAAAAAGGAAACTCTTGTTTCCGAAACTACGAGGACCTGCATGCATGGTCAAAATTCCTTTACTTATTTGGCGACAAATCACTGGAATTTACGACCGGACAATGCTAGAACTACTAGTAATATACATACCTCTTATTACCGAGTTTTTTCGATCCGTAATTTACAGTACGGACCGAAAAAACGAGGCCAATAAGATGTTTATTATATCGCTGTGGCTATATGTAATGGTAACAGGACTGAGTGGAGTCCGATTCGGTCTGTAATCATACCAGTGATTAACAAAATCGGACGACCGCGTAGCGGGAGTCCGATTTGTTTAATCACGAGTATGATTTCAGACTGAATTGGACGACACGAAGTTCTGTTACCAATTAATCATACCTTTAACAAAATTTGTGATACAATAGGCTATTTTTTAAACCAAACCACAAGAAATTCGAAATTTTGTTTTGCTAGCAGTGAAAAAAAAAAGCCATTTAAGCGCGCGTGGTGGCGCGTACTGTCCAATTACTGAGGCATGACGCGTACTGTCCTATTAAACTGTCCAATTAAGGCTGAAATCAGGGCAGTTGAGAGCCAATCAGATTTGACAGTTTTGTTATAGTTATGATTAGGCCGGTAACCGGTCAATTATTATATGGCTTCTTCCAGTTTGGGGGACTGGAAACAAGTGCAGGACGCGCGATTTGAGAATCATTTGACAGGCGTCAAGAAAGAAAGTTTTTATTGGCTCACGAAAACAATAGCACACAACAAAGGGTTTCCGAGAAAGTGAAAACAAATTCGCTATGTCGAAAAAGTTTATTTGGTCAGAACTAAGAGCGCTGCAAGTTTTAGCTCTTTAATGTAACGCTGGAGAGTTTTGGAAACCGGGCAATGTGTCTTTCTCGAAGTCGTTTCCATCTTTTCTCCGTTGGTCCTTGTAAAAAAAACACTGCAAAAGGCAAACAAGCTCTTCAAGGTAAGTTTGTTGTCATTGTCGAAGGATTCGCTCGTTAATTGTTTGCGGAAAACCTCTCGAACTTCTGCCAGTTCATTCCCGTCTTCAAGTGTGATCTGCGTTAAAATTTTCAAACACGGACCATATTTTCTTCCACGGAAAGGGTACGATTCAGTTTCTACATCAGCTTCGTTCTCCTTCAAACAAACGGCTAGGTTAAAATCTGGAAAGGCAAAGTCAACATCCCAGTCCTCAGGGTTTACAGACATATTTTTAAGTATATTCGGTCAAAACTAAGAGCACTGTAAGTATTCACTAGGAAAAATGAGACGCGAACTTTCCGTATAAACGGCACATTTCGTCTAAAATAAGACGCGGCTTAGCTAAGACGCGTCTAGATAAGACATGCTCTTATAATGCACCTATCAATGTAATGCCGGCGGGGGGGGGGGGAGGCAGGGCATAGGGTGGGGATTTGACTTTTTTCAAAAATTTTCAATCAAATTCCCTGCCCACGGGCAAATCATTCCAGTCAAATGCAACCAAATTTCCCCACCCCAGGCTGCACATTGCTGTCCATCCCAAGGCAGAACCTAAGAAAGGCACAATAAAAATATCTCCAAATAAAACTCTGTAATCTTTTATAAACGTTGCTGCATCACCAAAGATACATGTTCCCGTTACAGCTGCAATTATACGTTTTAACCATAATCCGTGTTACACTGCCTGGAATACATAAACCTTTAGGAGAAAGTCCACATTTTGTAAGTCTAAATATACCGTTCTTAGTAAAGGGTACAAAGAAAGCCAGTTTTATAAGTTTACAGTGATTGTAGCGAATGAGGCATACACCAGGGGCACCCAAACTAGAAGAAGCCATATAATAAACATCTTATTAGCCTCGTTTTTTCGGTCCGTACTGTAAATTACGGATCCTCGTTTTTTTCCATCGAGTTATGGCCCGCGTGCTTCGCGCTTGGGCCATAAATCGATGGAAAAAAACTCGGTCCGTAATTTAAAGTACGGACCGAAAACTCGGCTAATAAGAGGTATTTATTGCCTATTTTTAAATGATGTACATTGTTGTAAATAGTCATCTGGTCAAAATTATTTTTAATATTATTATTTATTGTACTCAATTGGTTTATTAATATATTTTGTTTCTTTTCATTCAGAGATACTTTGTAACAGTAATGCTACTCTTTAATCCGAATGTTGAAATAAAGTTTATTTATCTATCTATCTACACTACCATAATCCTCGAGAAAGACTTATTAATACACAACAGTCAGCTGTCCTGATCACTGAAAAGAGTTATCGGACCCACTATTTGCTATCTATTAAAAAGCTAAAATGTGCCTTCTCATTAACTGAATTCCAAAAAATGGTCCAGTTTATTTCTTTAAGACCTATATTTAGGCACTGGAGCTATTTCCTGAGTCAGGTTGTTCAAGGCAGTATTAAGATAACCCAGGGCTAGTGCGAAATTTGAAATCAGATATAAAACGTTAAAAAGCCAATTCGGTTTTATTCTCTTTGCCTATAATATTAATTTGATGATTGGATGCTCTAAAAAGAATAGTAAAAATTATTCTGCAATAAGTACAGGTGCTACAGTCTAATCTTAAAATATGAAACAATGTTTTTAGGAAAGACGGCGGAATGACTTGCATTCTCTCAACATGGACACTTTGGAATGGAGTGGCAGGTGAATTCAGTAGATTTTCAGATATCGAAAAATTCCACATTCAGTGCCTCAGTGCTGTTGCGTAGTACACTGTTTGATGCATGCTTGATTTGAAGAAGTTCCTTACTAACTTGATTTCATTTTCTGTTTTCCTTAGCATCTCTACTACGGGAAATGTGCCTCAAGGTAGATCATGGCATTCTCTATCTCCAGTAAGCGACAGACATCTGTTTCTTTATGGAGGTTACAACAATGATCAAGACGTACTAGGTATGTAGTAGTGTGGAAAGTGCAAAACAGTCCTATAGTTTTGAGTAGTCAAGAACGCGCGTGTAGTCTAACAAAAGGTCAGGGCTGTGAGGCTCGCGCGTTTTGCTCGACATCTCACGTCTCGCATCATAAAGTACGATTTTAAGACTGTTTTGTTGTCCAACAGTATTCATTTTAGTTCAAAGAGAGAGAGCGAAGATTACAAAAATTCCATTTCTCGATTGACATCCGCGAAAAAAAAAAAACCGCCTGTTCTGTAGGCTAACGAAAGCGGCTGCTTTATAGCTGCAGTGTTTTTCAAGGCGGTCGCTGTCCGTTTTCAAGAGTGCCGGTGAAGAGGAT